GGATTACAAAAGATTTAAATGATTATGTTTTAAAAGATAGGTGCTTAATTGATTATGCACCAGACATCCAAGAACTTTGGAAAGGTAGGGCAAAATAGAGATATGTTTATAATCAGCAAAACTAGAAGGTTATAACTTTTTCGAAAGAGGAACTACAAATGCATCTTTCCAAGCTAAAGGTAAAAAAGTAGAATTCAGTTGTTACACAGGTGAAAGGAGATCAATGAGAGGGATGACCATTTGCCGAATAATGCAGTCACTACCAATCGAATTCGAATGTATGGACATTGTGGCTACAATTACATTATGACAAATTCACTAAAATTAAAAGTAGGGGTGTCCGAAGCAGAAGTTTTTGAAAGTGAATCTAAAGTATTGGGTTTTGCTTCATCGTTAATACAAGACGAAGATGAAAAATGCAAATTAAGTTGATTGAGATCAAAGTTATGGTGAGTGAAATTTTGTCGTAATTCCCAACTCCTAAGGACTTAAGGAATTTCCAGATCTTGTACTGATTCATGGATATGGCGTCGTTGTGCTTTCCTACAAATATTGTTGCAACGATTCCGTACTAATCTATACTTCTCTCGATTTAAGTATCTAGGAAATTTTGCTTTGGCACAATTTTTTAAGTGGATGATTTTTTTATATCATCAGTCAGCCTGGGAGAGGGAGAATGTTTTATGTTTGTATCATTTATCTGTAGGCGGAAAATCTGTAGGTGGAGATGAATTACCCGTGGAACTGTTTAAAGTACTTGAGTATGCTAACTTAGTATAAATAAATATATATAGAAATATAGAATAATAGTAAAGTTATTCAACACTATATATGATTTGGGCGTCATACCATCGGATGGCTCAAATCCACCTTTGTCACCTTTCCCAAAGTTGCTTCTGCGAAGAAATGCAGCGAATATAGAACAATCTCCTGAGTCATATCCTAAAATTATTCCTTAAAATAATTTATAACAAATGTGAAGACCTCATTTCAAGAACACAGTTTGGGTTTATCAATGGCCTGGGAACGAAAGTTGCACTTTTCAGGTATCAAGTTTTGCTTTATCGATTATGAAAAAGCATTTGATAGAGTACAGCATGCAAGAATGATTGATATATTACAATCCATCGGACTCGACTCTAAGAACGTAAGGTTCATTAAACACCTATATTAGAACCAATCGGCGAATGTTCGTATAGAGGGCAAACTAATAGATGACTCGGAAATCTTACGTGGAGTACGGCAGGGATATATTCTCTCGCCAATTCTCTTCAACATTTACTCAGAGATGATTTTCCGTGAAGCAATGGATCGGGTGGATGTAGGTATCACAGTGAATGGTCAGATTAACAATATCCGTTATGCCGATGACACTGTACTTATTGCATCTACAATGGAAGAACCTCAGATCCTTATAGATAACATTCAATCTGTTAGTTCAGCGTATGGCCTCAGTATCAACACCAGGAAAACCAAATATATGACAGTTTGTAAAACACCACCTGCTAACCCTTCTCTACTATGTAATGGACAGACTACAAAAAGTTAGCAAATTCAAATATTTGGGATGTTGGGTTGATGATACGGGAGACCACAGTCTTGAAATAAGGTGCCGCATAGAACAAGCCCGTAATGCTTTCTTTAAGCTAAACTCACTTCTGTGCAATAAAAAGCTGAACATCCAGATACAAGTACGATTAGCACGATGTTATGGTTTCTCCATTCTTTTGTATGGCGTTGAAGCATGGACCCTCACAGAATCGAGCTGTAAGAAGATTAAAGTCTTCGAAATGTGGGTATACAGAAGAATATTAAGGATATCCTGGAGAGACAAAATAAAGAACGTAACCGTGCTAAGTCGCATAAAAAAAAGCCCAGAAGTTGTATATTTAGTAAACAAAAGAAAGCTTGAATATCTCGGCCACATAATGAGAAACCGAAAATACCATTTACTACAACTTATCATACAGGGCAAGATCCAAGGAAAACGAAGTGTGGGTCGAAGAAGAACATCTTGGCTGAAAAACCTACGCCAATGGTGTGGAAAGAGCACCCGTTCCTTATTCAGAGCCCCGGTATCAAAGATTCAAGTTGCCTTAATGATCGCCGACCTACGAAAGAAGATGGCACTTTAAGAAGAAGAAGATCATTTATCTATCTACAATAAAATGCATACGAGTTGTCACCATTGAGGACTAAGATGGAATGATGGTTGCCACATTTCCAGTAGTAATACAGCAGTATTAAGCTGCTATTTTATGCTGGTATTTTGTGAGAGCGTGGTTCTTCCCCGGCCGGAGCCAACCCATTCGTACTACAACCATAATATAGCTGTAGCGTCGCTCTACCACATATATAATAACGAGTATATCATAGGGTAGGAGTAATGCACTATAGGACAGCGAACTGTGGAAGTAAGCGACTGATAAAGCAGTTCTTAAATCGGCTATCTAATCGTTCTAACAAGGATGAATGCAGAACTTGATTTAGAAATTACGTCCGCTTGGAAGCTAGTAGTGTAGTTGTACCACTTCTAGACCACCTGAGTCAGACGTGGTTCAACGACGTTCGCAGCGTGTGCGTCGACTATATCAGTGCTATTGTATTGTACTTCTTTGTTCCTAATTATACAACGCTAATCTGAATCATCAATAAAACACATTACATAATTTTGTTACAATTTTTATTTATAAAATACAAAATCTTATTACTTATTATCTATAAAATAGGAGCGAAACATCTCATCCACTAAAATATCGTTGTACAGTGTGTTCCTTGTAAATATACTCGTAAAACTATGTAATGAACATCCTTGAAACTTATATAGCAAATACATTAAGCAATATTCGCCACAAACTGAAGTCCACTCATTCTGAATCCTATCAACATTCCAGTTCCATCTTTTACAATTCCTTTTTAAAAACTCTAGATGATATCGTACAGGTGATCGTCCATATGAATCAAAATATTGACCGACGTTATTCGTATCGATATATAAAGCTACCCAATGTGACCCTGGTTTATCATCTGTATCCAAATTACATATTATATACGTTGGTACGTGGGTATACATAGGCAGTCTATTAGCTGCATAAACATTATTTTCTAGACTGGGGTGAATCTTTTTCAGATGTTGTTGTACATCTAGTGTATCCATGATATTACTGATATTAGTACATTATTACAGTACCAATCTACTCAATGAATAACATAGGAATGGTCAATTATAGTGATTTCTAAATATTAAATTGCATTTTTGTGTTATACAAATCGTACTTGAGTCATTGATCACCAAACAAAACACAATACGAAGAAATGTTGAGATAGACAACGGAAATGTGAGATAAACTGGTTGACGCATAAAGTAATTATCAACTCATTACGGAAATAGTTTAGATTAGAATTTTTACGTACTGGTGGTATATAAGACCAACAGACGCAGTCATCGAGTTAGTGTACGGTCGTTTGACTACAGTGGATCTATCAATAGTACATTTGTGTTACTTCAATACACCAAAGGCTATGGATGTAAGTGTTTATTCTATTGACTAAATTACTTTTTTTCTGTTATTTTCATGTGTGTGTATTATTTTATTTAAATATTGTGTATGTATATGATTAAGCCGTGGTAACTCAGATGGTTAGCGCTAGCTGTAAATTTCACAGTACGCGACCCGGGTTCGATCCCCGCCAGCACCAATTAAATTGTTAATCGCAATTTTAAGTGCTTATTACCACGTGCTTGGTGGTGAAGGAAAACATCGTGAGGAAACCTGCATGTCTGAGAAAATTTCGAAGGCATGTGAAGTTCGCCAACACACATTGAGGGAGCGCGGCGGACATTTCCTTGCTCTAAAACCCTCTCAGAAATGAGAGGAGGCCTATGTTCAGCAGTGGACTTTAATAGGCTGTAACTTTAACTTTTTTAACTTTTATGATTAAGTGTTAACAAATTGATATTAACATGATAACTGTGTTGTTGCAGAAATCATTGAGCTTCGATGAAGATACCTATAAACAGTATTACTACTCGCCACTCTCCCCTCAAGAAGAGAGTGATAACCTCGTCATTAATAATAACACATGCGATGGTGGAAAAAGAAAATCGCAATCGATTGATCATTTTTTTGAAGCTGAATCAAAAATAAAAAAGAGGAAGCTGTTATCATCAACCGTAGCACAAGCCGCTAGAGATGGTGTATCATACATTTCTACTAATTCTGACGACGGAGACCAAGCGACGCATCTCATCAAAATTGAAATGTACGATATGAAGAAGCTATCCAAGATTCCAACTACTGATCATTGGAAACATGCTTCCACGAGAATTAAATATTACGTAAAGACTAATAAGGATAGCATCTACGACAACACAAACGCCCTCGTATACAATATAACAAAGACAATAGCAGAAAGTGAAAAAGTTAAAAAATACTTTTTTAACAATGACAGTCATTAGCTGATCATTAGTGAATGTGATTCTGTTTACTTCAATTACAGGAAGACAAGAGCGGAAGGAAGAGATGAGTGTGGCATACGTGTACAAAACACATCATTGAATAACAAAACTACAACACTGAGTGGAGAAGAAAACGAGAAGAGTATGCAGTACTCAAGAGCTGAATATCCATTCTTCAGTTCAAAATCTAGCCGTTTGCTGAGTTTCTGAAACCTGAAGATCTTGCAGAAGCTGGTTTCTTTTATACTGGCCATGCAGACGGGACCAAGTGTTTCCATTGTGGTGGTGGTTTAAAAGATTGGGAAGATGATGATGATCCTTGGCAGCAGCATGTTCAGTGGTTTAGTCAGTGTGCTTATGTAAAATTTCAACTCGAACAGTGTTTTGTGTTAGATTAAATAGAAGATTTATAAAGAAATAAAAAAAAATATATTGCATACAATTTGTTTTATTTAATTTTATAACGTTTCACATAGTTACATACACACAAAATGCATTACACATAACACATAAAATCTAACACACAACACATATTATAACCTTAACTACTATAGTCTACAGTAACATTTCTGTTTTTATCTATCTCAATAATATTATCAAACTCAGCATAAACTATACAGTTAATTGTTTGTATTAATGAGGATTCAAATCGTACTTCTATTCTTACACTACCATGCTTTATGAGATTCCAATGAGTTGATGAGTTAGCTGATAAATCAGGAGTTAAGTCAAATGCTAATAGACAGTAACCTTTGCCATACTGTTCACAAGAGATTCCATTTCCTTCATTAAGAAAGTGAATACCAGTTCCCGAGAATAGAGTATGATATGCTGATGTAAATATGCTATTATTAAAAGATGGTTGCAAAGCTTTTGAAGGTATTTGTTGACCATCAATATATAAGCTGAAAGAATTAATACCATAGTTTTCAAAGTTAAATGGATTTTTAGTAAGGGAACCATTAAATGCAGAATTGTTCACAAATCCAATTATACATCTTTTCGGTACCTGTCCTAAAAATATATTATCAAAAGTTTTTCCTTGAACACCCGAAGGAATTGTTAAAACTTTTACTTCAGCTCGAGTAATAGGATATTTAGCAGTGGTAGAAGCTAAAACTTTTTGATGTGCGAGTAATACACTTGGATTAATTCGTGCTCGTCGAACAATAAGAGTTGCGTCCGTAATGCAAACTTTAAACTTTACATCGTTTGACCCAACAATTAAATTAAAACTCTCTCTTGATCGAACCAATTTAACACTCATTTCAACACCATTAATTAAAAATTTATCTTGGTTAAAAATGTCACCGTGAAGATGACCAATCATTTCTATTTCCTTACTTTCACTAATCAATTCCTGTCTTTTAACAAATCCTATGTTTTTACCATCTGTAGAATCCATTTTTCCTGCTGTATCCTCATACCAAAGACTACAAGTAAGATGAGATTGTTTAGCAGCAGGGGCATAGTTTAAGGGGTTTCCATGTATGCTCGATATGCATAGGTATTATTAGGTGGTGATACAAGTTTTTGGTTTAAATAAACATCAAGTTGACTAAAAAGTGAATGCAGCCAATTATTTACAGGTGCTACTATTGTAGTAGATACCAAGTTAGTTGAATCTTGATTTAATACTTTTGCCTTTATGTGGAGTAATGTATGAGACAAATCTATGTAGTCATCGCCGGTCCCAGGAACTTGAAACTCGATAGGTCCATCATCACCAAGAGATGAAATTGGTTTATAATGAATCCACAATCCATTTTCAATGCTAGTTTGTGTAGACGGTAGTGCAAACAAATCCAATTCTGACTTAACGCACTCACAAGAATGATTATGAAGGAAAGACATATTTAGTTTGAAAATATATCTTTGATATTTTTTGGTTTTAGACAAAGTTTTTTCGCAGCTTTCACTTTAGCAGTTAATGGTGGAATGAACGATGTCAATCGTTTTCTTTTAGTTTTATACCCAGATCCAGTCATGTTAAATTGATCAATTTTCTCATCAGCCTTTCGTTTTAAATTCGTACTAACTTGCTTTAGACGATCTTTTATTGAGGCTTCCATAGGACGGGCTTGAACCATATCCGATAAAAGTCCTACTCCAGCGCTTAATGCCTCCTTACCAATCACTCGAGCACCACTTGAAAGTAAAGGTAAAACTGATCTGAATAACCCCCCTAAGAAGCTCCCAATACCATGACCGCGTTGATATGGTGAACCCTTATAAATTACTCCAACTCCTGATCCAGCTTGATGTGTATAATAATTTTCATATGGACATTTATGATGATCACGAAGAGAATTCATTATTATAATTTTCGGAAATGTAGTTTAATACACACGGTTCCAAACTGGAATGGTATTTTTTGTCCTGTACTCGATCTTATAACTATTTCCAACGTATCGAACTCTCTTCGCATAACAGGTAAGTAGTGAGGTTGAGAGAAAACGTGCATTTTATTTGCACCATAAATGTATTTTGTAGGATCTAATGAAATGACTCTTAATAAAGGAGTCATAACATCACCCACAATCTGAGGATCGATAATGTCGCAATATAGAAATAGTTGAGATGTTAACCCTAAGTGTAAATTAGCAGGACACTTTCCAAAATTTCTCTCTAGGAGATTTTTATTTGGTTCATAACCTAGCTGTATACTTAATTTGGGTGATAATGTTACGGATGTTATATTTTTATCCAATACCGAAATAGACACAAATTTTGTTATTTCATCATAGCGAAATTTCAAGTTCTCTCCGATACCATTTAACACTCTTAAAATATGCTCAACGTTATCATAGTTGGTAGCTGGAATATGTTTTTTGTAGTACACTGTGGATGGTTTATCTTCATTAGGCATTAACATAGATTTTGTAATGTATATAACATTTTCATGGTCTTGAACAGTAAACATGGTACACGGATATTGAAACTCGACAACTCCAACCGACCATTCACCTTCTAATTTTATAGCTTTTGGTAATTTCGTTGAAAAATTTGTGGTCTTGTTATCAGGAAAGTATTCCATTGAACTATTGCTGAGCAAAGTTAAATAGAAACTTTCTTTATTCATATTTCTTTTAAACTAGAAGCTAAAATCCAACTGTTAAATTTATCTGGATAACCTTTCCACTTCACTAATACTTCTTTTCTGTTACCTGAATAACGAGTGTCAATTATTTTATCTATTTTATGTTGTGAGGTGGGGTTGTAAGTGATTTTCTGTAATTCTCTTTCATAAAAAGTACCAATTATTGGTTCATTTTGTAAATCTGTTATTGTATAAACAACCCATGGAGATCTATCAATTATTGAAGATATAATAAATATTTCATCACTCCAATTTGATTCATATCCTTTTTGGAATACATGTTTATATTTAGTTATTCGAACATAATCACCCACATTGAAATTTGGTTTAGGATTTTCTAAAGAAAGTTTTTTTGACCGTCTATCATAAAGATTAGTCCAAACTGTCATAATATTGTTGGAATTTACATCACATGGGCACATCTTAATACTAGAGTGAAAGCTGTGATTATAAGAGTATATTAAATCTTGTAAAACATCTATATATCTATAAGTATTATTATGAGTGAAATAACGCCACATTTTCATTTTTAGTGTTCTTTGAAATCGTTCAACAATACTAGCCTTAATGTCAGGATTGTTAGTGGTATAGTAATTAATCTTTTTGGATTTAAAGTATTTTTGTACATCTTTTGAAACAAATTCTGTACCTTTAACGGATTGTATGTGAGTAGGTGTTAAATTACTTTCAGTAAATATACTTTCAAAACATTCTTTAGTTGTTTCTGAGTTTTTCTTTTTCATTGGTCTTGCAAAAGCATATTTACTAAATACATCAATAATACAAAGTATATACTTGAAACCATCATTATATTGAGAATAAGTTCGCATATCACTTAAATCAGCTTGCCACAGTTCATTAATATTTGATAGAATGTACCTATTACGCGGGAATTTTTTTCGAATGGGTTTATGTAATGTGTATGTTTCTTGTGATTTTAACCATTCCTTTACTTGCTTTTTATTCATTTTACCCTTCATGGCTTTTGATAATTTATCAATACTACCAAAACCAGCGGGATTAGATGGATCATAATAAATCCTGTTAATTTCTTCTAGTACGGGGTCCATTTTTCCCACTCAAGTCCTTTACGTATTTTAGTTGTAGACTTTTTATCTCTACTGACCGGTGTAGAAATCTCTTGAACTTCAATCTCAGAGGGTTTGTTCAGATCTTTTGCTTGAAGTTGGTTAATAAACTCACATCTCCTTGGATTTCCAATATAAGTAAGTGGTACTTTAATATCTTTTAATGCTTCAGCAAATCTAACCCACCCTACCGGATCACTTCTTTTTAGGGGTCTTAGTGAATCATTTATTAAATCAACAATATTAATTCCAGGAATTTTTTCACTATCAATTATGACTGTACCTTCATTATCCCAATGTATTTTACTTTTACTTGTTTCAACTAAGTTTAATAATAACTGCCCTTTTTTATGATAAGTTTTTGGTATTAAACTGAGTATTTGAGCTGGTGTGTAAAGTGGATTTTCATCATTTTCTTTACTTTTAATGGATCGATTCTCCTCCAGCAAAGATTCAATATCAACTGAAGTTTTTAGATCTCTATCTTTATTTTTAAAACCAATTTTTGACTCATTTGAATCTTCATTAGATGTATCAGAATAAATTGGTAATTTGAGTGGTTGACGATCCTCTTCGGTAAAATGAAGGTATCTTTGCAGTGTTTGTAAATATAATATCCATTTCTTTCGGTCTTCCGTCTTACTATTCATAATATTTTGCATTTCAATATCTAATCGAGATAAATTACTATTAACCTTATTTTCTTGTTTTAATTTTTCAATCAATCCAGGTTCGATAAGTATCATTTTCTTTGCATTTTCCATGTTAACTGGCTAGTCCACTCACTAATCCACTCAATATTGCACCTAATATTGTTGGTAAGAAAGCCCCTCCTTTTTGTATAATTATATTTTTTCTTAGTTTATGTTTACACTTACGTAGGTACTAGTTTACGGAGTATGTTTTTATGTTTATTCAATTTTTGTTTATCCTGATCTTTAAGAGGTACTTTTCCTTGTAAAACGTTATGAATACACTCACAAATACAGTTAATTTCTTCTTCATCACACGTTTTAAGTAATGCTCTTTGATATTTTGGTTTAAGCGTATGCAAAGCGGTTAGCAAATGTTTATACGTTGTGAGTCGACGATGCATCATTTAGCAATGATTTCAATTGTTTGATTCTTGGTGTATTTAAACTCTTTTGTGGGGACGTAGACTGTACAGAAACCATTAAATGGAAAGACATTTGTCTTGATACGACAAAAATCATTGGTATTCTGTTTTAAATCTACCATTAAATATCCATGCGCCTCTAGAGTTGCATCCCTGTAGGCATTTTCAATAAATTTTGGGTTATCTGGTGATACTTGTCTTGCTAAATATCTTATTTGAGTTTTATCTCGAGGGTTTTTAAAATATATTATATAACTTGAGTTTAAAGATATGTCTCTTTGTCCTTTACCCTGATGAAATAAATTTTGTGTTAGATAAAATACACTAAGATTCCTGTGATGACTACCTTTTGTAAATATATCCACAATTATTCCATCGGACTCTCTCATTAGATCATCAATAATAACAAGATGTGGGTTTTCACCATCAAACATATTAAGATTTGGAATTCCTTGATGATAGTTAACATTTGGTAAATTATATAATGGTTGCATTTCATCAAAGCACCATGTGATCTGATTAAAATCACAATTACATATTTCTGTAACTGATTTTATGAAATTTGTTACAAAATTTGACTTCCCACACCCACTTGGTCCTGCCACAATAGCAGTGAACGGATGGATAAAGTGAAACATAACACACGTCTAAAGTTCAAAGGGGTGAAATAAAAAATGAAAGTGTTGGTGTAAACAATTAATATATATTCCAAAAATTATATAAAACAGAATTATCTGTATACTATTTCTAACACAATTAGTACATCATAGTTTTACAATTAACTCAACCTCAAATAAATAGAAACAACAATTAGTACATCATAATTTTACAATTAACTCAACCTCAAATAAATAGAAACAACAATTAACTTAAATTATTTACAATAAAACAATGTTTAAATATGTAATAAACTACGTCATATTATAGTATTATCATAATTTTACAATCAATATAAATTTTTCTTAAACGCAGACATAAAAGTAAAAACTATCAACACTTAACGCAGTTTATAATGACCCCAAGCTAATGTTTCAATATTATTATCTAAAATATGTCTCTTTGTGTCATTATATGATAAACCTATCTTATTTAATTTTTGTGTGAAAATTGTGTGTTTAATTGATTTAAATCTAAGCATACTATAATATTGCACTTTTTTATTAAATAGAGAAGACTTATAACTATTCATTGTCATCTTTTTAGTGATACATTTATTTACCCCTTTTGCCTTGGCTATAGTCTTATTCTCTAAGTTAAAAGTGTACATTTTGGATCGTAAACCCACAAATTCTTTCATGATTTTACCATTATTTTCATCTTTAAAAAAACCTAATTTCTTTTTATTTAATTTTGGATATTCAAAAATATTATTTGTATCATAATCTGAGGTATCAAAGTATGATGAAAGGTCAGGTTTTATATCAGTGTAAAAATCATTTGTAAATATATGATATATTAAACTATCCGTATCTGTATACAATAATTTGATTTTACTAAACTTTTTAATCATATAGTTATAATGAAAATCATACATTAATGTTTTTGAAATATCTAAAATGCAAAACCCTAAATAAATTGGTTTGTTATATATTAACTTCTTTTTTCGCAACTGAACCGCAACTAGGTTTTCCGAAAATATTGAAAGGCTATGAAATTGTGGTTTAGCGATTAGATCTTGAGCACCTAAAGCTTTACCCTGGTTCTCCCAGTGCGTAACTAATTTTATGTTAACCCTTTTTTCAATATTCTCCATAGTCTTACCGAAGACTGAATTATTCATTAATTTATAAAAATCTTTTTCGAAATCTGATTTTGCTAAAGTTCTTAATTTTGTGTTTAGATCTATGTACATCTTCAACCAGGGAGACTGTTTAAATTTTAAAACTCTATGAATTTTAGTTAATTTAACCCCCATTTCTATGCACTGCTTTAAATTTCTGTAATGAATTACATATTTATCTATATTATTTAAATTTGGGACTAGTTTATTCTCATTAATATTGCCTACACAAATGTTTTCTGGACATAAAGGAAAGTCCGAATGTAAATCATGAAGTTCATCTGGATATTCCAAATCAACTTCTAAAATAATACCGAAGTCTGATGTCTTAGACACATTAAATTTTGTATTTGGATTTACCCATTCGAATCCACCAGTAGGAAGATATTGAGACATAGCCCAACCATATAAATTGTTGGCATCAAAATGTGTGATATATGAATTTGGTTTCCCTGTATCATAATCCTCCATGTATTTGTTATTAGCTCTAGCATAACGATTACTACATTGAGATACACCACCTCTGATACCTGATCTAATAAATGCAATTTTCTCATAATCTGTTAAAAGTTCTAATTCTATTTTTGTATATTTTAACATTGCATCCCAACTTAAACCGGGTGCTGTGTAATAATGGACAGGGTCTAAATCATATGTATTAATACATAACTTTCTAAAGTTTTCAAATACATCGGATAAAAGTAAAACGTCTGTTTTTAAATACAGGTTTGAATAATCTAGCATATTACAACACCCAAAATGTTCCCAAACATCTTTAGCATGATTGTAATCATCATTTGAAATATGTGAATCTGTGAGTGAACTATAAAAACATTTTTGTTCAGGGAGCGATGTTAGACTTAAACTATCATAATTAGTCATAAGTTCATATGGATAAACACCTTTCCGTTTTAAACGAAAGAAATCTTCATCATTAGGGTAATTTCTACGTAATTCTTGAAATTGATCATTACTGAGATTTTTGGCCAATTCTTCTAATTTACACGATAAAAACTTAAATGAATCTAAGAATCTCAATATAATTTCGTGGTTATTCACTTTTAATTTTTTGGAAAAGGATATATATTTTTCTTTATTTTGAGGGATAACTTCGACTTCACCATCACAAAAGTTTAACGCGTGAACAATAAAATGAGCATCATAGTGACTAATTTTGTGTAAAAATATTGGTATATAACGAGGTGTTCTGATCTTCGAACAACATGATTCATGAGCAACACCTATAAAACTACCAGTGTACCAATCAAAATCATAAAAATGTTTTGCCAACTCAGTTTCACAAATATGACAAATGGTTGCATTTGAAATTTGGTTTTTGTCTTCATTTGTTAGCGGAAGTGGTGGATATTTTTGAAGTCTATTTATTTCTTTTAGATTGTTAGATAAACTTTCCATAAACACTTGTGCACAGTTGGGTCCGCAATATGTTACATATTTTGATAATTTATCATCATATGAACATTTTATATAATATCCAAAACTATGTACTTCATGTTTATGAATATTACGAGTGAAAGGTTTGGAAGGATCGTTAGAACATGATTCTATTGGTTTTAAAAATGCTTCAAAATCAGCATAAACTACGAATGGTATCTTTAACTTTTTTTCATAACTATCAAATTTAATTTTATCATTTGAAATAGGTTGACCAAACCAATTCTTTTTTTTTAAAGTTTCACTGTTTGGTAATACTGTACAAATGTGGGCACAATCGTATTGTTCATGGTTATTTAACCTTTCCTGAGATGGAAAACGAAGTAGACATGCTTCACAAATGTACATGATGTGACCGTCTTTTGAAATTTGTTTACTAACTAACCGCGATAAATTTTTTATATAGCAATAATGATTTTTTGTATCCTTGGAAAAAAATAATAAATTGATATGTCTATCTTTACGACACTTTGTTAAAAATAATGGACCTACTATAGAATTACATCGTTTTTCTTTATTATATTCTAACCCAAAAACATTAATACTAATATCATTTAATTTCTCTACTTTTGCTATGTCAGAAATTTTAACCGGAAAGGAAATACCATCAAATTTAAGTTTATTTGCATGTTTAACGTACGATGATACCCGATCGGTGTGTTTGTTTACAGGATATAACGCTGAGAGTAACGCCCATTTAAAACAAAAATAATCCTTGTTTTTTACATTTATAACAGCCTTTTTTAATTTTATGTCACGAGGAAGATCTATGTATGAAGTACCGCGTAGGGGGTTAAATTTATTAACATTCATGTCTATAGATTTTATGTTTTTTAGACTCCATCCACTATCTTTTTTTTTCGAAAGCACTAATTTTAGTAGTAATTGTATCATTTAAAGATGAAAGAAAAATATTTAAGTCATCTCCTTGACAAATAATATAGTTAAGCGTTTGAAAATCGAACGTATCATGAATATCTTTAGTTTGTTGAACAAAATCAGCATGCAATATGAAGTTTACCTTAAAAATTATGTGTTGATGAATACACTCTTGTAATAAAAATAAAATATCATCTTTAATAGAATTTAAAAATAGTTCAGGAGTTTCAAAATTTACCCATGTCGAACGATCTACTCTACTCTTGATTTTATAAGTTAAAATCCTATTTCCAAAAGCAGATTCAATAACACTAACGTTTGATAAAGAATTATGTGAATTTAAAAGATTATTTTTATGAACATTACTTTTAAAATGATTAGCTAAATACCGTTTCTTGATAAATATATGGCACGTTGGACATTCCACTTGATCATCGTTACTGATACTGTTCCCTGCAGAGGTATGCGCTTCTGCTTCCGTTGTTGGTTTTTTGATGATCTTGGATTCTTTGCTGCACGTTCGCTTCGTTCCTCTTCCAAGTTGTAGTGGTTGACTGCTAAAATGTTTAAATTTATTAAAAACTGTATAAGACAATATGTAAATTATGATCGAAATGAATGTTTATTTTACATACTTAAACTGTGTTTCAACCATCGCACAGTAATGATACAACTCATCATCGTATGACGAATCGAACAGTTGACCCCTCTCCATTTCTTCACAAACTTTAGACAACTCCTGATTTAATTCGCTATTGAATAGTTCCGTATTCTCTTCCATGATTGTGGAGAAAAAAGCACTGGTGCACACTTCACTGAAGTTTTCCCTTCCTCTTTTTTATTTTTTATTCAGCTTCAAAAAAATGATCAATCGATTGCGATTTTCTTTTTCCACCATCGCATGTGTTATTATTAATGACGAGGTCATCACTCTCTTCTTGAGGGGAGAGTGGCGAGTAGTAATACTGTTTATAGGTATCTTCATCGAAGCTCAATGATTTCTGCAACAACACAGTTATCATGTTAATATCAATTTGTTAACACTTAATCATAAAAGTTAAAAAAGTTAAAGTTACAGCCTATTAAAGTCCACTGCTGAACATAGGCCTCCTCTCATTTCTGAGAGGGTTTTAGAGCAAGGAAATGTCCGCCGCGCTCCCTCAATGTGTGTTGGCGAACTTCACATGCCTTCGAAATTTTCTCAGACATGCAGGTTTCCTCACGATGTTTTCCTTCACCACCAAGCACGTGGTAATAAGCACTTAAAATTGCGATTAACAATTTAATTGGTGCTGGCGGGGATCGAACCCGGGTCGCGTACTGTGAAATTTACAGCTAGCGCTAACCATCTGAGTTACCACGGCTTAATCATATACATACACAATATTTAAATAAAATAATACACACACATGAAAATAACAGAAAAAAAGTAATTTAGTCAATAGAATAAACACTTACATCCATAGCCTTTGGTGTATTGAAGTAACACAAATGTACTATTGATAGATCCACTGTAGTCAAACGACCGTACACTAACTCGATGACTGCGTCTGTTGGTCTTATATACCACCAGTACGTAAAAATTCTAATCTAAACTATTTCCGTAATGAGTTGATAATTACTTTATGCGTCAACCAGTTTATCTCACATTTCCGTTGTCTATCTCAACATTTCTTCGTATTGTGTTTTGTTTGGTGATCAATGACTCAAGTACGATTTGTATAACACAAAAATGCAATTTAATATTTAGAAATCACTATAATTGACCATTCCTATGTTATTCATTGAGTAGATTGGTACTGTAATAATGTACTAATAGCAGTAATATCATGGATACACTAGATGTACAACAACATCTGAAAAAGATTCACCCCAGTCTAGAAAATAATGTTTATGCAGCTAATAGACTGCCTATGTATACCCACGTACCAACGTATATAATATGTAATTTGGATACAGATGATAAACCAGGGTCACATTGGGTAGCTTTATATATCGATACGAATGACGTCGGTCAATATTTTGATTCATATGGACGATCACCTGTACGATATCATCTAGAGTTTTTAAAAAGGAATTGTAAAAGATGGAACTGGAATGTTGATAGGATTCAGAATGAGTGGACTTCAGTTTGTGGCGAATATTGCTTAATGTATTTGCTATATAAGTTTCAAGGATGTTCAATACATAGTTTTACGAGTATATTTACAAGGAACACATTGTACAACGATATTTTAGTGGATGAGATGTTTCGCTCCTATTTTATAGATAATAAGTAATAAGATTTTGTATTTTATAAATAAAAATTGTAACAAAATTATGTAATGTGTTTTATTGATGATTCAGATTAGCGTTGTATAATTAGGAACAAAGAAGTACAATACAATAGCACTGATATAGTCGACGCACACGCTGCAATGAAGGTGATTAATGAACAATAGAACAATAGAAATAGGAACAATGGGACGCTAATGACGGTGGACGCCCTTACCGGATATCAATTAGATATTAGCTAATTGATCTACACATCTCCGGAACCGTGCATTCTACACAAAAATGGACCGCGGATTCGTGATCAGAGCATGCCAAAACCTTTTTTTTTTAAATACATTTAGTTAAAAGCCGTTATTTTGACATTACATACAGACACTACAATTTTATTTATTTGTATAGATGTAAGTAGGTGCGCTTAGTTGCTTTTTTTTTAGGATCGGGTGTCGACGAACGTCGTTGAACCACGTCTTACTCAGGTGGTCTAGAAGTGGTACAACTACACTACTGAAGCTAGTTTATCAATATGGGAGCACATACGGAGCCTGAAATGAATAGGAATACTGAGAAACACACTCTAACTCTATAACTTTCGAAATTTATTAATATTTTATAAATTAGTTACAGCATCTAGGTCATCTGGCGTAAACGACATGATTATACCGCCCTTTTTTCAACCGACTTCAAAAAGAGAAGGTACTCAATGCGACTGTATATTGTTTTTATATGTGTGTTACCTCATAACTTTTTTCTCGGTGAACCGATTTCAATTGTTCTTTTTTATTTGAAAGCTGGTGCTTCATGTGGTCTCATATAAATTTAATCAAAGTCTGACAAGCAGTTTTTGAGTTATCTTTGTTGTAGAAATTTTTTAATTTTACCACTTGTTTTAAACACAAGATATTTCTGGCATATACCATTGTCACGTCTTGTGACACCTGCGAGGCGAAACGGAGTGATGGATTGGTTCTCTCAAGCCCCCGTTACCGTTACCGTTACAGCCTATTAAAGTCCACTCCTGAACATAGGCCTACCCCATAGATTGCCTCATAGGAAGGATATTTGCCATAGTTGCCACGCTTGGCAAGCGGGTAGGCAACCGCAGTTTTTTATTTTTAGTCATTATTAGGAAGACGCTGCTGCCCATCTCCTGATTTGTTTCCTTCTGTCGCCTCTTACGACACCCACGGGATAATATGGCCACTGCACGGTAATTTTCAAATTGCGTATGTTGAATGGCTAAATTTATGAAAATGCTACACAGTTACAAATACGTAAATGAATGACTAAAACGTAGTGACTATATTCTCTTTGCGTATGGTTGCTACACCCGTACTTTATATTGCATGTGTTCCAAGCGTAGCTAATGTGTTGCTTACCAAGCTCTCGATTAGATTGTTTTCTGCTTAGAAATTCTTTTTCTTATTTCACGGATTAAAATAAAGTCTGAAATTTTCTGAGTTAGAAAACATATTTTTTTGTATATAATGGCAAGCTATTGAAATTAAAAAGCATCTTCATTTCAATAGAGAAGATGGCTGGGTGCTGCCATCTGCTTGGGATCCCATAATTTATAAAATTAAACCCAAACCCAAGCATACTACTGCCAGACTTCAAGATACTGTAAGCTCGTTCTGCGGAGATCTGACCAATAATTCGTAATTAAAACTTCAAGACAGCTTACGATAACTATGAAACCAGGACGTGAAACACCTCAAACCCCCAGGGACTATGTGTGCCGTAAAATGCCCGAAATGTCGGAAATTAAAAAAAAATTAAACGCGACAAACCTGTAACATTAGTTTTATTTCACTAAGTAGCTGGTACCCGGTGCGTTGCAGCTGAAATAATTGCGGAAATACCGTTTTTAATTTGAAAGAGTTACATTGTTTAATTAGGATTTTTTTAATTCATTGAAGTTGAATGATATATAACTTTCAAATAAATTTGTCGGGCCCGATATGCACATCACCTACTATAAGTAAATTCTACTATGCCTATAATCTTCGCGCAAGTGCATGCAATAAATTGATAAAGTTTTACCGCAATCTGAAGAACAGTATGGCAGCGGCATGAAAGTCGAACAAACAAATATACATTTTTATATATTAGATTTTATGAGTTTTAAATTTTTTGCGTGGGACCCTAATTCCTGTTCTAAAATAAAATTAGCGTATGTTACTTCTTATAACATAAGCTATCTGCCAGTGACGGTCCCATCAAAATCGGTCAAGCCGTTTCGGAGATTAGCCGAAAGAAAAAGACAGACAGACAAAAATGATTTGACATTTAAAATACATTTAGTTAAAAGCCGTTATTTTGACATTACATACAGACACTTCAATTTTATTTATTTGTATAGATATAAGTAGGTGCGCTTAGGTGCTTTATGATGAAATTGTTACCGATTTTTATCGTATATATTATTAGGCAACGAACTAAATTTGAATTTATCAAAGATGAATCCTTCGGCCTTAAATATATGTAAACAACGCTTCTAATCAATTGCTGCCATTAAATTTAATAAAATTTTATGTTCTTTTTTTAAAGATTGCAGAGGATTCGTTTAAAAAGGTAGGTATATAACCTACCTACTTGAATTTTCATCGATTCTGACTGAAACTTATATAGAACTACTGTGAATGTACATTCTTTCACAACTTTTTTTTCAATTACTATTATGCCAGTACTATATCACATGATATTAAATTATGGTTTAGACCTAAGAGATAATGTTTTAAATATATTAAAAAATACTGATGTGATATTAAACCTTTTAGATGTTACCTCGGAAATTCATCGCCTGGTCGGCAAGCTTACGGTGCATCATAATGGGTCTTAGTAATTACATAGTTAATTACTCAACGAATTACTTACCACGTAAAATCACATAAAAGCAGTAATTTTATCAGTAAAGCATCTTTAAGGTAGAGAAGTTAATTAACGTAAGGTAACGGCGATACGGCGTGAAGTTTGTTTTCTTAATCCGTGAAATTAACACTTTCGATTTTTTAATTGCCCTTACAGTTTTTTTTTTTTTGTATAACGATAATTTTTCAGTGTCTTATAAATTTACGTATGACATATTAGCGCCTCTCCATTAACTTTACGCTGGTATTCTGTGAGAGCGTGATCCTTCCCCGGTCGAGACGACCCATTCGTGCTACAACTAAACTATTAATATAGATGCAGCATGGCTCTACCACGTGTATGTAGTGCACGGGACAACGAAAGGGTTAATTATACTGACTCTCTATATCTATATACCTTTCAGACCGACACATACAGAAATAGGTAAGACAATGGTATCTACACAGATGAACTTCTATACAGAAAAAGGATTCTTTCCACCTAGGAAAAATGTGGTCAACAATCAACCGCACGACATATTGAACATTAAAGATATAAATTAATTTTACACAGATTTGCGATGCAAGACGTCCCTTGGAAGTTGCAAAAGTCGACTAAGGCTAAAGCCAGTAAAATATGAAGAAGAACCTTGTAAATGGT